TTAGGTTTGTTCAGTGGGGTGGGGCGGGGAATTTCCTGTCCTGCCCATTGCGCTTCGAGCTTCATCTACCTGGCCAGCATCTTCGCTTCAGGTTTTTGCATTGGCTCGCTGCTCACAGTCTTGCTTGGACTTTGGTGCTTCCTCCACCCTCGGACCATTCCATTGGTCTCCCCATCTGAAGAGCCTTCACCGTGCGCTTCCTCTTCGGCCTCTTCTCTACGCATGTCGGCGTATCTGCGTGAGCTACACCGTCGCTCTGCTGGTTAACGCTGTCAAAGCTGCCGCTGGCACCTTACGCCTTTTGGCTGACTCTCTGGAATCCGCCGCTGATCGGGCCGCTGCTGCGCCTTTGGTTTCCTTCAGACTGGGACCTTGAAGATCCTGCTGAGCTGGGTTTGGGGAGCTCATCTGCTCCACCTTCTTCCCCGCCAGAAACATCTACCCGGGTGGGATCTTCCTACGACTTGGTGGCTCGCTCTATTCTCCCTCTACCTGCTCATTGCTTGGACGTTTGCAGGCTGGCAGGGACACAGGAGGAGGTCAAGGCTAGCCGAGTGAGGTATGAGTCTGAGGCCTCATCTGCCTTCTGTTCCTTCTCTACCAGGTCGAATTTCTGCTCCAAGTTGACCTGTCCGAACTGTCCACCAATGGTCAATGGTCTTCACAATTTCTTCAATACCTTCACGAGTTCCGGTGATCAACTCTTTGCGATGCAGTTGCAGCTTGCCAAATGCTGCTTTGGTGTTGAGGATGACGCGGGTAGCAAGCTCAACCGCGATTCCGGCCACACTGTCGCAAGCAGTTCAATCTTTTGGGACCATTCTTCCACATTGTCCACAGCAGGATCGAAGGTCGGGATCTGAGGTTCCTATGTCCAGAGTCGTTGCTCCTGCAGTCTCTGGCATGACCACTGCTCTGTGGATTCAACGATCGTCCACAATCGGCCACGACCCTGTCGCGCGCTTGTTTCTCACCTTTGACCGCACGAGCTCCCTGAGCTGGATGTCCTTCTCCACGATGTAGCCGCAACAAGGCCTTTCCCAAAGGCCACCAATGATGGCTCAAGCTTCCTCGCCCGGCCCTCCACGCTTGCAAAAAGGGACGCGCAGAACTCAAGGTAAACTCCAAGTGGTCATGTGACACGCATTTTTCACTCTACAGTTACAGTAAACACATTGCATATTAATGGCATACAGTAGATGTATATCTGTTATATCTACTTACATATATTATTGCGTTTGGAACCCTGTGTGATTCACGATGGGGCAGCAGGTAGAAGATCACAGGAGTCTTGGAAACCAGAAAAGACAGTGTCAACTGTGCCACACCCTCGAACCTTCCGCAGATGCCCCAAAATCACCGTCCTATTCCCAAAACATTCTACTTCATAATTCGTTGGCCACTACGAACATCTACAACATCAGAGTACGGGATTTGTGTACAGTGCGCGTGTGACAGGCCCACGCCCACACACACACACACTTAGATGGTTGCTCGCAAGAGCTAGGATCAGAATGATGTCCCCCTTGACTTGAATGAACTGAATGGCGCAGGAACCGCAAGGCGAAAAAGTCCGGTCATTTGAAGGTGTTTAACATCTGTTTCAGTGCGTTAGCCGCTTACCGCACAACACTGCAGTGGACAGCTTGGAAAAAGTTTAACCGTGCAAGTACGTGAGTCAGGCGTCCCTGACTCATATCACAGGAAATCCATGGTGTCTTCATTGGATGCCGACCATGGAGATCCCCGGCATCCCCCTGCCTCTTTTTGCTCGCGCTGTTTAATTTTTGTTTGGTTCCTAGTAGCAAGGCCAGGAGCTACTAGTAGCATCCAGCCTTCTAGTGAAATCAACGGCAGGCATACTTACCAGGCACAAACCTTGGAAACAGGCGTTAACACACACACTATGCCGCAATCGGCGCTCTGTACCCCTTGCGCGAAGCGATTTTTTGCGCAACAGCTTTGTACACATAACGCCGATATCGGCGCTCCGGAAGATTACTAGTCACCTAAAAAGCCTTAGAAAGACAGACAAAGAAACAAAACAAAAGCGCACGAAGAGGGCAAGAAAGAAAGATAGGTATAGTGACGAGGCCCACTTAGTTAACTGAAAATAGTTAGCGAGCGGGACTTTTGTCTTAAACCGCCCGGGTAGCTAGGAGTAGGACAGGAGAAACAGAAGGAAAGGCGCCAACGCACAAGTGTGTTGAGTGCGATTTCCTTCTGTTAACTGTTGCCTTAAATAGCGGGTGGGATAGCAACAGAGGCCTGGGGCAGGGAGGGGCCCGAAGGCATTGCTGTCAGTGGCATTCAAGTAAAGCCGATTTGGGCCGGCGCAACCCATTGTCTGAAAGGCGCCTGAAACCAAAAGAAAGGCCTCAAGAAACGAAAAGCAACAGAAAGAGAGAAAGAACTCAAGAGCATGACAAGCGCGTGCAACTGAAAAGCGGCCTGTGGTTGCCTAGCCGTGGAAACTGTACAGGTGAATACTTAGACGCATGTGCAAATCCTGACTGGATCGTAATCTCAGTGAGCCCTGCGGCATAGTATCAGTGGTACCATGCAGAAGGGCGGATCAGGGGGGATCAAAAGAACTCCCAGAGCTCAAGCGGTGCATTCAGGGTGGGTCCCCCGGGATCTGGGTCTGTGCACATGCAGCGCCCCTCGACGGGGATCACACCACAGCCCTCACTACGACCCTGTGGCGATACACACTTAGATGGTTGCTCGCAAGAGCTAGGATCAGAATGATGTCCCCCTTGACTTGAATGAACTGAATGGCGCAGGAACCGCAAGGCGAAAAAGTCCGGTCATTTGAAGGTGTTTAACAATCTGTTTCAGTGCATTAGCCGCTTACCGCACAACACTGCAGTGGACAGCTTGGAAAAAGGTTAACTGTGCAAGTGCGTGAATCAGGCGTCCCTGACTCATATCACAGGAAATCCATGGTGTCTTCGTTGGATGCCGACCATGGAGATCCCCGGCACCCCCCTGCCTCTTTTTGCTTACGCTGTTTTAATTTTTTAGTTTGGTTCCTAGTAGCAAGGCCAGGAGCTACTAGTAGCATCCAGCCTTCTAGTGAAATCAACGGCAGGCATACTTACCAGGCACAAACCTTGGAAGCACACACACACACACACCCTGTCGTGCTTGCCAAATTCACGACTTGCAGCCCAGAACGCTGTCTGGAAACTGAAGTCACAGTTGAATGAACATGCTTTTGGTTACAATGTCTTGAGATTAATCGATTCAACAGTGCAGACAATACCGTCAGCTATAAATCCGGTTAGTCGATTTGTAAGTCTGAGAAAAACAGCTTCCGGCCTTTGACCTTCTTCCGTGTTTGGAGGCCTTTGACCAAATAATTGTCACGTCGCCGGGTGAAGTGCCGCCCATCCATGCGGATCTGGACAATTTGGGCATCACCAGGTGGGGTGTTCTTGTGCAGGCAAGGGTTCAACGTTGATTCAACATGGCATTTGGGGATGAATCAATTTGGCGAACAAGAAAGAACAAACAAAATTTATCATTGCCAGGAGAGGCGCTGCCAGCTCCTCTGATTGGTCAACAGCTGTAGAGGCTGAATTTGTGCACTGTTCTGTTCTGTGCGAAACGCGTGCCCCCCATTGACGTTTTGTATCCAGGAGATCGAGCGAGGCATTACACCTGACAAGGTGTACACGCTTTGCTTTTGGAGCGCTTCCAAATTCTTGGATTTGATGGGGGCAACTTGCTTGCAAACAGAGAGATCATCAAACTCTCACTCCAAAAACCTTGTTGATGCTTGTTAGTGGATGGTCAATATGGAACACTCATTGCAGAGGTGGTTTCTGCCAACCCAATCCATCCTCATTGTTATGATTTGGTAGGGTCACCAGAGCGGGAGGCGGAAGTCTCTGCAATCGTTTTTCTGGGAAGTCTTTGCTCGTGCGTGCAATGTGATGATTTGAAGTGTGTGGTGAAGTCATGTGGAGATGTGTGGTTTTGTTTCTTGTTGCGGTGTTGCTTTGTTATATATGTGGTGAAGCGGTACATGGTGGGATACCATGCAGACAAGCTCCGAGTCTGTCCTGTCACCCGGTCAGACCAAATTCTATTTCGGTCTGTCCCGACCACGCATCACATATCCGGCTGTGCGCAAACGCATCAAGTGCGAAGAGATAGCTTTTCGAACGAAGCCGGTACCGCCTCTTCCCATTCCATTGCTCCCGCAACTCGGAAGTTTCTCTTGCAAACTTCTGGTGATACGGGTTTGTAGGCCTCCCAGCTTCAATGCCTAAAAGAAGGAACATAGACCAGCCTACCGATAATGGTCCAGGTGGTCTCGCGGTCGTACACCCTGATGTACAGAGGATTTTTATTGAAACCTCGGATCGCCTAAGGCACAGATCACCGACATCCTTCCTGTCTTTCCAGCGGTCTCATTGTCATCCATCCTGGATCGCTGGCCTCCCCATTTCGTTCTGTATGCTCTGGAGGAGCCGCAGGAGACCGGAGAATCCTGTTCTCCGCCCTTGCACTTGGAGCGAAATAAGGAGTATATTTTCGATTTGATGATGGTGCCGAAATGCAAAGAGAGTCTGCACCTTTCACAGAGGTACTACTTCCCGAAAGATCGTTAGGGAAAGCAGTGCCGAACGAAGTATCAATATTTGCTGTGCCTAGACTTGCGACCTACTTGATTTAAAATAAAAAGACACTGTACATAGCTGTCTGAAATCCAGGTTGTAGAAACAGTCTGTCTGAAGCGGGATGGACCAGGAATACTTCCTGTGATCGCGAATGACGAAGGAGACAAAAGGGCTTGCAATGGACAAGCGACATAGGGCTGAACAGAAAGGGAAAGCGGAGTGGAAGTGATCGTGTATCAAGAGCAGCACAAGAGACTAGTGAGAGACATGAAACTAGATGAGTCCAAGATTCAGATGGACATCATGCACATGGACATCAACCGCAACATTTCGTCAACTTTCTCCTTGTGGTTTAGCGTCCTGCTACAGGTCTGCAGCATTGGAGCGTCCAGGGTCTGATCTTCGGAGTGCAGAGCTTGGTGGCGTTTTCAAGGAATAGTTGTTGCTGCAGCAAACTGACAGAGCCACATTGAGAAAGAAGCACATGTCACTAGAACAAAGTCCAATCATGGAATCATGGTGCAGTTGACCACCTGAAATCAAAGACGCTTAGCCCTAGGCCAACAGTTCGTTTGTAGCTAGGCCAATATATCCTTTGTATCAGGAGACGTGCAAGACAAACTTCCCCGTAGTGATTGCATTCCTGCGGCTGAGTGCCTCAGGATCGAAGCTCTCAAGACCTCAACCGCTCGCAGGGTTCCGAGCCGCTCCATGCCGGTGCAGTTTGGCAGTTTGCTGCAATGATTGCCTTTTTAAGCTCAACTTGCATATCAGTAGCCTAGGAAGTGTCTGAAGCTCCAATACATGGTCATAAGGCAGGAGAGACGTCTAACCGGTCAACTTGGCAAGATGAGATGCTTGTTGGTTGTCCCTTGAATATGGTGAGGTGTGGATAGTTATTCCCCAAACACGAAGACTGAACACTGTCAACTGTTATAAGTTTATAAGCTGTCGGGGCTCTCAATCCTTGCATAGAAAAAACCATCTATTAACGAAAAGAATTGATCATTTGACCGTGAGTCCCCTCAAGTCTTCCCATTGGCCTTCCAACAGTGGACATGAAACCTTGCTTGTCTCCATTCTTGTCTCCCCGCAAGGTAGGCAAAGCACAAGCTTGGCAACTGCTTACTTTGTTAGAACACACTCAATGGACACACAGTTGGTGAACAAGGAGGCCAAATCTAGCGGCCACAATGAGATGCGTGCGTTGCCCGTCACAGCGACAGGTGCAGGGATCTCCTAGCGAGTTGTCGACAGCACCGACAGCGTGTGAGGCGCTATCCGGCCGTGGTGAGTTGTTCCGTGATTTGGACATTGCCCCATCATTGTTTGCGCTGCGCTCAGGAAGCCCTACACGATGGCTGCGAACTTGCAGGATTGCTTGATTTGATGCCTCACTGTGTAGGTCGTGAATGCCCAAAACGCCGAGAAAGAAACAACCACTAGCAAGAGACAGGTCATTTCACAAGAACATGATGACTCAAAGACCTCTGGTTTGGATTGCCCGATCATTGCTGCTGCTGCTGCTGTTGTTGCTGAACTTGTGGTGTCAAGTCGTTTACCTTCCGTCCGTCATGTTACATTCTAGAGTTCAGGAGCTGATGCTGTCCTGCGGCTTACATCTGCAGGTAGGGCTGGGTGCGAGAGCAAGTTGTGGGATGGTTCTGCTGAGCTGTGCTGCTGAGCTGCTGTGCATCATTGATTGGCCATTGTTTCCAGATCCTTAGAGATAAAGCAGTGAGTCCGCTCACCATCCGCTGTCTTGTATTCCCTGTTTGGAAGTTCTGTTACGTCCAGGCAGCAGTTCCAAAGTCTCTGATGCGGGAGGTGGGTGTGGGTTGCAGTTGCTTGAGCGCCATGGATTTCCACAGACTCCAATGACCTAAATTGAGACTTTCTTCATTTTTCTTGCCCATCCAGCCAGATTTACCACCTGCTCTAGTTTTATTGTGGTGTCATGTTCAGAAGTCATGGTCTCTATACATTAACATATTGACCACACTGAAACAGTAAAACCCAGTTTGATGAGGGCCCTTCTGGGCGGTTGACTCCAAACATTACAGCTGGTCACGCCACTTGAAAGGTGACACTGCATGGGGCGCGCAGCTCTCAGGTATTGCTCCTGTTATATAGGTATGCTTATCATTGCTTACCCACTTCATCCGATTTATCCCCAAATTGAATGTAGAAGAGTGCAACATTTGTCGTTGAGGACGTGTGTTCGCTTAGGCATTGCTCGATGCCCGGTCCAGGACATTGGAGAAGGGACTGGCACCTCCGCTGTCGCTGGAGTTACCTGTAAAAGTCGGAGCACTCAGTGGAACTCAAGTGGAGTTGAAAGTGAGTGCAGAAGCTAGCTCCCTGTGAGTGACCCCACACCAGCCTTTTGTTTTTTGTTTGTGATGTCCGTTTGACTTGTACAGAGAGCGCAACAAGCTTGTTTTTGCCTCAGCCTTCTGAGTGTGTGGCAACCCTAGTTTTGACTATAAGCTGTTATTGCAAAAGCTTCTATTTTTTATGTCGTGAAACTATGGGCCTGTTTTTTTTCCCAGAGGGCCTTCTTCTAGTTTTGTTGGTAGATTTCTAGACTCGTCGCTTGCAACTGCTGGACGACAGGTCTTCTCTGATGGAAGAATCAGTAGACATGTTCTTCACCAGGCCACAAGTCTCTCATTTTGTATTCTTGCATTGAATTGGGGGTAACATAACGGAACAGCAAGCTGATGTTTAGTTGGCCTTGAGTCATCAGCATTTTCTTGAAGATGAGTTCCTTTATTTGACTCTTCGGCCTTTGCTGCTGGAGATCCTATGAAGAGTCTCTGTGATCATCCCAGCCATGAGCTATGCATTACACCCCTCCTGAGTTGCCTCCAAGCAGATCCCTATTTGGCTTAGTTGTCATCAAGAGTGGTACTTTGCTGCTGAACAACATGTTACAAGCATGGCAGTGTTTGCATTTTCATCAATCACATAAATAAGCAACAAGATGCTTAGAGCAAGTTTTGTGTGCCTGCACCGAAGAGGTAAGACGGGAAGAAGCTGGAAGCAATGCTTGTGCTTTGATGGCCAGGCTTCCACACAAGAGCTCGAGCAGAGTTTGTCTGCAGCCTCCCGTTGCTTGCTTAGTTTCCCCTTGATTCTGGGAGCAAGACATGGCAGACGTGGCAGATGTCTTCACTCCAGGTCAAGCAAGGCGTTTGTGGAAGGGAGTTGCAGATCTGGAGCAGGTGGAGCACGACTTGCAGGCGATAAGTCTGCTGTTTTTTCTTGTCCCAAATGTTTCCAGGCGTAACCAAGAGAGTGTTTGCAGAAAAGAGACGCTGTGAAACAGCCTGTTTGTACCTCCAGCTGAACTGAGTAGAAATAAAGGGAACCTTTCGCTTGCTGGGATGTTTAGACATTGCCCTGGTAAGAGCACAGTCTCCTTCGGGACTCATGCAATGCAGAACCAGGCTCGTTTGCAGGCAACAGGCTCCCGGCCCGGAGCCCGAACTTGAAAAGCAAAAGAGCCTTGTTGCCACCAAATTGTTGTACAAGGTCTTGTGTTGGAGAAGGAAAGGAGGCTGGGCAGTCTGAGGGTAAATTAGCTTGAGCTCTTGTTTAAGCCTATGCAACATATTGAATATGTCTACTGGATGGGCAGAATGCAACGAGAAAGCGAGTCAAGCAAGGCAGTTCACTTGGAGTTGAAAGCCGCCCAGGCAGAGCTTTTTCTTTGTTTCGAGAATATGCCTAGGCTTGCCAGGTTGATGGTGCAGATCCTAAAAGCATGAGCAACTTTGGTGTTTGCGTTGCAGGAAGAAGAGCGGCAACTGGTGGAAAAACTGGTCGCTGTCTGAACCGTGAGAGATGCAATGAGTGGTCAGTCCCCTTCACAAGGTCATGGTGAGTGGAGTCCCGATATGCCGAGGCCTCCGTGGAATCCCGATGGGACTTGGTGACGCTCCCGGATTTGATCACTTTGATTGTGCAAGTTGAGCATCACCAAGTGAGTCTCATGGTGAGTCAAGATATGCTTACAAAGAGAAAAAAGAGAAGGTAAGGGCCTCTTTAATGAGGCTCCTTTAAAAGAGTTTCTTTCTAATTCCCGAAAGCATTGCGAAGGGTTCTTCCGGAAAATCCTTTGAACACTGACACTTCGACACGTACACTTAGACACACCTAGACATTGACACTTTCACCACACACCTAGACATTGACACTTTCACCACACTGGCAGGATAAATAACATGCACGCTATACGTAGCCCTGTGTAAGTGGAAGAGCGAAAGCTGTCAAAGTATGCAAGTGGAAGTATGCAAGTGTAAGTATGCAAGTGATGAGTATGGAAAACTAGCACGGGAGATGTCCTAATGAAAAAACAAAAACATTTCCCCACTTTATAAATTCTCTTTTCAAGGCGGAGGGCGGGACGAACAGCGTCAACCGAAAGTGCAACCCTCTGCGGAGATCGTGCGTGTCGAGTGCGCGAAATGCAGGC